AAAAAAGAAAAAGAAAAAGATAAAAACAAACAAAAACAGAACAAACCAAAGAAAAAAAACAGAATATGATCAAATATGATCAGGCTAGTGCATAGATCAGTGCCACACACTAGATTTTGGGTGTATTTTGGTCTGTTAGAAGAAAGTGCCTCCTAAAATTTTAAAGGAAGAAAGACTTATATATGTACAAAATAAGGGTTGATACAATGAAGGGATGGAAGATGACTGTAAAGATGAAAATTATAAAAGGTTTTATAAACGGAATTGATAAGATAAGAAGTTGTTTGAAAGAAGAAAGAAGAAGATTTTTAAAAAAAAAGAAAGAAAAAAATGGGAGAGACTATGATCAGGCAGGAGAGTAGAACAAAGCCATACACTAGTGATTTAAGGTATATTTTGATCTGTTAGAAGAAACTGTATATCAAAATTTTAAAGAGAGAAGAACTTATATATATATGCCAAAAATAAGGGTAACTACTATGAAGGGATAGAATATGACCGTAAAAATGAAAAATAAAAAATGTTTTTTTAATAAAGGGATTGATAAGATGTTGGTTGAAAAAGGGAAAAAGAAAAATTCAAAAAAAAACAGTTAAAAAAATTAACTTTGAAAAACTAATGAATCATGGTAAAAAAACCATGAATTCTATGTGCAGTATTCCCCTAGCGCTGGAGTTCTCCCGTTCTCCTTGATCGGTAAACCTGGTCTTGGCTTGCTGGCTGTTGGTGCTGATCCTCTGGGGGAGGGGCCTGTTGCCGTGGTTCCCAAATGTCTTTGCCGGAGGCGGAATTGCCCCACCCTTGTCGGTCTGGGCTAAGCAAGCTGCTCGGGTTTGCTCTCAGGAGCTTTTGTTCCCTGCAAGCTCTGGTACAGCTTTGGAGGACCAGGGTGAAAATGGTGGCCTCCCAATCTCCACCTGGAGGAGCCGAGAACTCGGGGCCCCGCTCCTCAGTGCACCCCCAGAGAAAAGCAGTCAATCACTCCCGTCTCCCCGGTCTCCGGCCGCACTCCGTGCTCACCCGGCCTGTGACCGAGCTTTTCTATCTCTGGCACCCGACCCCGTGTGGAGTCTCCAAACCCAGCAGATCCCTGTGGTGCGCTCCTGCGCCGCTCTTCCCCGGGGAGGAAGGGGAGTCTCCCCGGCTCTGCCGCTTGTTGGGTCCCTGCTGGAGGCGCAGTGGCCCGACTGGGCTGCGGATCACAGTTTATGGCCACCCCGAGCTGAGAGCCTGCGCCTCGGCTCCGTCTCTCCACAATAGCCAAAATATGGAAACAGATGATCATAGGGGAAGGGAGGGAAAAATAAAAGAAGACAAAATCAGAGAGGGAGACAAACCATAAGAGACTCATAACTCTAGGAAACAAACTGAAAGTTGCTGGAGGGGAGGTGGGTGGGGGATGGGTTAACTGGGTGATGGACATTAAGGAGGGCACCCGATGTAATGAGCACTGGGTGTTATATGCAACTGATGAATCACTAAATTCTACCCCTGAAAGTAATAATACAGTATATGGGAACTAAATTGAATTTAAATTTCAAAAAAGGGCAGCTGAACGTATAAGGATGAGTGTTGGTGATGAGGGAAGAGTGATCCTCTCTGAGAGGGAATGTGTGCATTAAATACTTTTTGGAGATGAAAAAGTGAGCCACGTGCACACCTGGGAGAAATGCTTCCAGACAGAGGGAACTGCAAGTATACAAGCCCCAGTCTATTCAAGAAATAGCCCAGGCCAGCATAGTTCGAGCAAAGCAAACCAGTCTGGAGAGAGTAATAGGAAATTAGGTCAGAGAGATAAAAATGAGCAAATCATTTTGGTCCTTATAGGCCATTGTAACTGTTTTGGTTTGGCTTGGTTTTTGTTGTTGCTCTAACATTTTTAACTGAAATATAACACACAGTGACTCTTTCCACATTTTGGGTATTGTGGACATTGTTGCTATAAACATTAGGATGCGGATGCCTCTTCGAATCACTATGTTTGTATCCTTTGGATAAATACCTACGAGTACGATTGCTGGGTCATAGGGTAGTTTTATTTTTAACTTTTTGAGGAACCTCCATATTGTTTTCCAGAGTGGTCGCACCAGCTTGCATTCCCACCAATAGTGTAGGAGGGTTCCCCTTTCTCCGCATCCCCGCCAACATCCGTCATGTCCTGACTTGTTAATTTTAGCCATTCTGACTGGTGTGAGGTGGTATCTCATTGTGATTTTGATTTGTATATCCCTGATGGCAAATGATGTTGAGCATCTTTTCATGGGTCTGTTGGCCATTTGGATGTCTTCTTTGGGGAAATGTCTGTTCACGTCTTCTGCCCATTTCTTGACTAGATTATTTGTTTTTTGGGTGTTGAGTTTGATAAGTTCTTTACAGATTTTGGATACTAGCCCTTTATCTGATAAGACTCTTGCAAATATCTTCTCGCATTCTTTGGGTTGTCTTTTGGTTTTGTCAACTGTTTCCTTTGGTGTGCAAAAGCTTTTTATCTTGATGAAGTCCTAATATGTCATTTTTGCTTTTTTTACCCTTGCCTTTGAAGCCATGTCTAGCAAGAAATTGCTGTAGCTGAGGTTGAAGAGGTTGCTGCCTGTATTCTCCTCTAGGATTTTGATGGATTCTTGTCTCACATTTAGGTCTTTTATCCATTTTGAGTTTATTTTTGTGTATGGTGGAAGAAAATGGTCCAATTTCATTCTTCTGCAAGATGTCCATTGACAGACGAATGGATAAAGAAGATATGGTATATATACACCATGGAATATTACTCAGCCATCAAAAAATGAAATCTTACCATTTGCAATGACGTGGATGGAGCTAGAGGGTTTTGTGCTAAGGGAAATAAGTACTCAGAGAAAAACAATTATCAAATGATTTCATTCATATGTGGAATTTAAGAAACAAAACAGATGATCATAAGGGAAGGGAGGGAAAAGTAAAATAAGACAAAATCAGAGAAGGAGACAAACCGTAAGACTCTTAACTCTAGGAAACAAACTGAGGGTTTCTGGAGGGGAGGTGGGTGGGGAATGGGCTAACTGGATGACGGGCATTAAGGAGGGCACTTGATGTAATGAGCACTGGGTGTTATACGCAACTGATGAATCACTAAACTCTACCTCTGAAACTAATAATACACTATACATTAATTAATTGAATTTAAATTTTAAAAAAGAAAGGAAATATAACACACAGCAAGAAAACTGTACAAATCCTAAGTGTGAACTCAATGAATTATCATAAAATGCCTAAATCTGTGTATCCAGACACAGGTCAAGACATTAGCAGCACCCCAGAATTCCCCATTTATGCTCCCTCCTGCCTGCTCTCTCCCTCCTTCTCAAAGGTGACCACTGTGGTGACTTCTAGCAGCAGATTTGTTTTGCCTATTTTTAAACTTTCAATAAATGGAATCAGTTATAAAAATAAAAGCAAAATAAATCTTTGCTCAAGATTTTGCTTGTGATATTCACCCATGTGGTTCCTAGAGGGTAGAAGGATTAAGATGACAAATAAGGGCACATTAAACTACTGATGGGAAAGATGTGGTACAGAGGGTTATTGCTTGCAGTGTGTCTGTGCCCAGCTTCCACAGTCCAGGAAGGAGAGAGCAAACATGAGCTCACCCAGGAGCTAGCTGAGTGTCAGGATCTCAAGAGATATTTTCTCCCTGCTCAGATCCTCTCCTGAGAAGTAAGAGATCTGGAGAGGGTTGGGATCATGGCTGCAATTACTTCTTCACTGATTCACTCAAACATTTCCAGATCCTACTTCATGTCGGGCACAATGCTGAGATAAAAAGGTAATTAAGCCATGGTCAGTTAGACAAATGAGTTAATAGGACTACAAAATGGTATGGTAAGTGCTAAGTATTTGCAAAGGATGATAAGGAAGCATCTTTTTTAAGAATCATTGTGACAATTTCACCTTTTTTGCTCAAACATTAATGGCTCTGAGATAGGCTCATGAGAATATGGCCATTATCCGTCCCTTTGAAATTATATTTATACTTTTTTTAAAAAGGCTTATTTATTTATTTTAGATATATAGAGAGAGTGTGTGTGAGCAGGGGGAGGAGCAGAGGCAGAGGCAGAGGGAGAAAATCCTCAGGCAGACTGCCTGCTGAGCGCAGAGCCTGATGTGGGATTCGATCCCATGACCCTGAGATCATGACCTGAGCCAAAATCAACAGTCAGATGCTTAACCAACTGAACCACCCAGGTGCTCTTTATATTTATTACCTTTATATTTATCAGTTTTATCTCCTCAAATAGACTATAATCTTTTTGAGAATAGAAAAGATACCTTCTGCTATCATAAAAAGAGCACAAAGTAGCTGAAGTCAGAAGAGCTGGGTTTGATTCCTGACTTGTATTCTTTAGCTGGACAACCCTGGGAAAATGAATTAAACTTCTATGCTTCAGTTCCTTTATCTATAAATGGAGATAGTAATATTCATCCTAGCTGCCTCCTAGAATTGTAACAGCATCAAAGGAAATAATGGATAAGAAGAGCTGTAAATTCTTATTATCAGTTCTCTAAACCACACAAAACTACTATGTTGGGTGTAGTAGGTAAATCAGTAAATGTTGAGCTTTCACTATACTTCATCAGCAAAGACTTGGTCGTTTTGGGGTCCTATGCCAGGGAGTGGATGCAGTTCCCTGTTCCCCTCTACCTTATGCCCAGAGAACCCAGAAGCTGGAGTCAGATATTGTGGCCATGACCCAGGAGTGACCGGCCAGTGTGGGAGGGTGGACTGGCCCAGAACCATCTGGGCCAATGACCCATTACCCAAGAACACCAGACATTTTGTTTGGTGTGGAACCTCTGTGATTGTCCATTTCAACACTTCTCCTAACCCTTGTCTCTCTTCCTCCTGTCTCTGGGCTTCAGTATCAGAAGGCTCTAATAGACGGGCAGAATTACGGGAATGGGTGTGGGAAGCAGGGAGTGGGCAGAGGGGGATGGTTATAGCCGTTTCCCTTCTGTGCTTACAGGGAACACAGCTTCACAAGACAGCTCAAACCCACTGACAGTGAATGGGGTTCTGGGGGAGTCGGTAACTCTTTCCCTGAAGCTTCCTGTACATCAGGATATTCAGTCCATCACCTGGCTTCACAATGGAAAATCTATCAACTTCATATTGCCAAAAGCTGCTCCAGATTTGCGGATCTCGGCGACTGATCCAAAACGGAAAGATCGACTGCAACTGTTGGAGAACTACTCCTTACAACTCAGCAACCTGGCAACGGGAGACGCAGGACTTTACTGTGCCCAGATAACCACACAAACCTCTACAGAGTTTTCCTATTACACTCTGCAGATCTTCAGTGAGTCAAAGCGTGGTGTTTAATTGTGTATGGACTGAAAGGTGTTACAGATGTCAAATCCTATGTGACAGCAAGTGTAGCCTAGTGGTTAAGAACATGGCATTTGCAGTCAGACTGAGTTCTGGCAGAAAAGCAAGTCAATGGCTCGGCCAGTTAGTGGCAGAGTGGAGAATAGAATGTAAGTCTTGTGACTCCTGGCCTCAAGTCACATCACTCTCACTCACACACTAAAATATTCCCTCTCGACCTGAAATGTACTGGAAGGAACAGAAGTGAAGTCGCTATGACTCTATTTCCTTGTGCATTACCTCTATCTGTAGTATATTCTTCACAACAACTCCATGAGGCAGGTACCACCCTTACCCCCAAGGCCTCGAGTCAGCCCCAGCAACCTGCCTACGGTCATGGAGACAGTAAGTGGGAGAGTGACATGTACCTGACATGAGACCTCCCTTTACACAAAGGCCAGTCTGACCCCATGGAGTGATCAGTGTACAAGACAGAACTCTACCTAGAAAGTGCTCTGTAAGGATGAGCTGATAATAAGAAAGATCTTTTCTATCAAGGTTATTTAACTTCTTTTTTATAAAGATTTTATTTATTTGTCAGAGAGAGAGAGAGCACAAGCACGGGTGAGAGGCAAAGGGAGAGGGAGAAGCAGGCTCCCCACTGAGCAAGGAGCCCGACGTGGGGCTTGATCCCAGGACCCTGGGATCATGACCTGAGCTGAAGGCAGATGCTTAACCAACTGAGCCACTCAAGGTTATTTAATTTCTTTTTTTTAACATCTTTTTTTTAAGATTTTATTTATTTATTCATGAGAGACAGAGAGAGAGAGAGAGGCAGAGGGAGAAGCAGGCTCCCAAGGAGCAGGGAGCCCGATGCGGGACTCGACCCCAGGACCCTGGGATCATGACCTGAGCCGAAGGCAGACGTTTAACCATCTGAGCCACCCAGGCGCCCAAGGTTATTTAATTTCTAACAATACTTTTCCCAGATGGCTCATGTCCTCAACATAAAATTATGGAAACCATGAGACAGCTTTTTATTAGAAAAAAAAATCCTTCTAGCAATCAGTGATGTTCAGAGATGCCATGAATGGCTTTAAGATAATTCTTTCATGGGAATGTTGTACAGGAGATTCAAGCATTAAATTGGCAACTTTAAAGGCCACCAAGATTCTATAATTCTTATCTACTCCAGAATCCATGGTATCTAAAATTAACCCAGAGTCCTTTGAGTTAAGACTTGGAATCCAAAAAAAGCACTTTAGTTAAAATAAAATGTCACCACAAATAGGTTACAGTGAACCTTTAGAATCCCCTGAATATTTGGCAGATTTACCATGTTAGATTAGTCAAAGTCATGTCCCTAAAAGAATAGGACACAGAACAGGTAAATATGAAGGGAAAGAAAGATTGTCTAGAAAAGTCTGCAACAGGAATTCCAACCAAAGGGGCAAAATCGCCCTGGGGCAGTTCATTAGTGTCTTGAGGCCTCCAAAACAAAACACCACAAATTTGGTGGCTTAAAACAACAGAAATTTTATTCTCTCACAATTCCAGAGGCCAAATGTCCAAAAGCAAGGTGTGGGCAGGGCTGCCTTCCCTCTGGAGGCCCTAGAGGGCAATCTGTTTTTTGCCTCTTCCAGCTTCTGGGTGCTGTTGGCATTCCTTGGTGTTTGTTGGTCTATGACAGCATCACGCCAGTCTCTGCCTTCTTTCCCTGTGTGATCTCCTCTTCTGTCTCAAAGATCTGCTTTCCTCTTATAAGGACCCTTGTCATTGGATTTAGGGCCCACCCAGATAATCCAGAATCATCTCCTCATCTCACTTAATTACATGGGCAAAGACCCTTTTCCAAATAAGATTCTGGGAATTAGGACCTGGGGATATCTTTTGGCCGTGGGGTGGGAGGTGTCATCATTCAACCCACTACAGGCAGGATCACTCAGTGTGACCAGGATCATCAAGGCAGAGCCAGGACGCTGGAGAGAAGAGAGACATCCAGTCAAAAGTCTGAGAATAGACCCCATATCAGGCTCCATCATACTTGTTGAGACAATGTTCTTCTGCCATTCTTCAGAAGACCAAGCATGACTTCTTCTGCAATAATCATACTCCCCAGGTTCAATGCCAATCCCTTCTCAGGGCCTTTTGGCATGAAGAGTGCCAGGGAACAGGGGTGAGTTCTAAATGGGGTGGTCATAATAGGCCTCATTGAGTAAATAACATTTGAGCCAAGACCTCTTGGAGGTGAGGGAGTGAGCCATGCAGATATTTGAAAGAAGAGCCATCCAGCATAGGCATTCCCTGTGCCCAGCATGCTCAAAGAGCACCAAGGAGGTCCAACACCAAGGAGCAGAGTGAGGGGAGAGTAATAGGAAACAAGGTTAGTAAAGAAATAGGGGCCACGTCTGGTAAGGCTCTGAGAGCCATCATGGGGACTTCGGCTTCTACTCTGTGAGACTGAGAACCATCAGAGGGTTTTGTAGAACAGTAATATGATTTGACTTACTTGCTTAATATATCCCTTTGACTGCTCTGTTAAGAATAGGCTCTAGGGGACAGCAGTAGAAGCCAGTTACCAATTAGGCCACTGTGACAATCCAAGCAAGAGACGCTGCTGCTTTGCCCCAGGGTGGTAGCAGTAGAGGTAAGGAGAAGGGGTTGGACCCTGAATATATTTTGGAGGTAAAGTCACCAGGATATCCTGATATGGTATAAGATGAAGAGGTAAGTCATCTCCAGGGCTTTTGCCCTGAGTGTCTGGAAAGGCGATTATCAACGAGGGTGCTGAAGGCTATGGACTGAGCAGGTTTGAAAGAGAAAAACAGGGATCCTTTTGAACATGTTGAGTTTGAGATACACATTATTTCCAAGTGGAAATGTCACGTAGGTAGTTTTATACTCATTAAGTGGAGAAGGGTAACAAGTTAGATTTTTGAGGTCAGCCATGGACACAGGTTGACGGAATGTGGCATTCATGCCAAATATTTGCCATTGCTGTGCTAGGCACTGTCTCAGTTAACCCTCATAATTCCCTAAGAAGTTGGTATTATTGCCCAGGTTTACACATAATGAAACTGAGCCTTGGAGAGATTAAAAACGTATCCGTGGTCATGTAACCAGTAAGTGACAAAGCCATGAGTTTAGCCCAGGTCTTCCTAACTCCAAATCCAACACTCGCCATTACAAGAAATCGCCTTTCTGTCAACATATGTCCCACCTCCTAGTCCATTAACGAAGCTTAGAGCATTCTTCAATCTCTTTCCACCAGACAGTGGGAGTCATTCTGTTCTCCATTGGGTCACCGTTACCCTCAGGTCAAGTCCAGGTCAGTGGCCTTTTCTGTACAACTCCCATGTCCCTGTTGATTCACAGCTACTGACATCTTAATAGCCAATATTTTCCGGTCTCTGCTCTCAGAAATTTCTACAGCAGATGTTCTCTTACATGCCTGAATGTATTGTACTTCTTGGCTTGCTTGTTCAGTTTCACTCCTTTCCTTGGTTTTTCGGTTCTCAACATTTCCCTTTCTGACTTGCTGGCATTCCATATCAGAGTCTCTTTGTCATCATGGGAACCAGCATCTGATACAATGAGGCCCAGGATTCCTGCAGATTTGTGAGAAATACAGTTCCACAAGGATGTTAAGCTTTTATCTTCTATTCCAGCTAGGGGATTCCGATGGTTGAGAAAACAAGGTTTTTGAGTCTGGTCTACTGGTTTCTGCCCTGGCTAAGGTAGAGTTGACCCTCAGCTGAATTCCCAAATGTCTTTACACGAGGCCAGTGTACAAGGCTAGAAAGGACACCAGGAACAAATTGGGGTCCAGAAAGTAAATCGAGCAGCCCAGAATCATGTAACTAGGTGGTGGCTACCCTGGTGTGTCCCTACCACTTCTCCCTCTGGCTACTCTGTCCTATGCTGATTCCCTTCATCATTTGGTCATCCCAGAACTTGGTGCCATCAGTTAGGCAATAGGAGCTGACCTAGTTACAGACGACACATACCATAACACACAGTAGAGTGTTGGGTGGAATACAGAAACATTTTGTGGCGGGAATGGTATTTTTCACAGAGTGCTGAACCAAGGCGTTTGTTCTTAGTTCAGGTCTTTTCTCTGCATGCAGGACGACTGAGGAACTTACAAATTACCAATCACACGTGGCTGTCTGAGATTGGGACCTGTGAGATCCACCTGACCTGCTCTGTAGAGAATTCAAATGACACCTTCTTAAGGTGGCAGGTTGTAGGAAACACGTCTATAAATGAAGCAAACCTCACTATTTCCTGGGACCCCAGGAATTCCAGTGAACAGAAGTTCACCTGCATAGCTGAGAATACTGTCAGCAATATATCCTTCTCTGTCTCCACCCAGAGTCTCTGCGAAGGTAACAGTCTGTCTCAGGTCCCTCTGAGAGCCTTGAGCAGCTGTGGGGTGTGGGGTGTCCCTCCTGCCCAAAGTGATTCCCCAGAACAGTGGCCCAGTGGGAGGCAGCCAAACCCTTCTAGGAGAGGACAGGCACTCCTGCAGCTCTGTGCCTCTCACGACCTCCAGAGGCCTCTCCTCCCTCCCTCCTTCCCTCCCTCCCTCCCTCCCCCAACCCTTCCTCCAGCCCACTCAGAGCCCAGGAGCAAAGTCCTTGGGGAGTCAGAACTGCTCCCCATTCTGGCTCTACCATGCTCCTGTCCTGTCTGCCACATGGACTCTCATTCTCAGAAAATCTACCCAGAGCCAGGGTCCAGCCAGTCCCCAAAGGTGGCCTAGAAGAGGCTCAGTGGAGGCTCTGAGGAAAACACTCCCTGCTTCAAGTGCAACTTCTTTTTTCTTTTTTCAGGTGTTTTGAATATGAAAAATCACCCTGATACCAAATGGATTATAATTGTGGTTGTGGTTACTTTGATATGTATAGTCATCACTGTGGGGTTACTTGTTTGGAGGAAAAAAGATTGTTTGTGGAGGACAGGTAAAGGGAAGGAGGATGGTCCACTGGGACAACCCTTGGGATGTGACCACACACCTGCTAATTTCCCAAGGAGGGTGGGTCCTACTGGAAAATGCATGACCAAGCCTCCAGGCCTGACTGCCCTTCCCCTTCAGCACCGCCCCCCATACCCTCTAGAGAGACACCTGTGGGTGTGGGGTAGGGTGTGGGAGCCTCTCTCACTACACTCACAAATTTCAATTTCCCTGATTTTATTTTTCAGGCATCTTTCATTTCTCTACTCCACAAACCCAGAGTCCTGGTGAGCTTGCAGACTCTTAGCTCCCAATCATAAAACCGATGGGGAGAACCTAATGGAGGAGGAAAAGGGCTGGTCAGAGGGCTGGATAATGAGAGAGGAGGGAGTCAGAATGTCATTACTCAGATGGACCAGATGGTGCGAAAGGAGATGACCTGTAACTATGCATGTCTGTCCCCTCTGGGACCTAACGGGTCCCTTACAAGCATGCAAACCAGTCACTCACCCAGTTTCTTGGAGTGGGATTAGGGTCATTTCCCACCCTGCTGATGAGAAACTAAGTGCCAGCAAAAGGTTCATGGCCTGTCCATTATCAACCAGCAACTCCAGGGCAGGGACAGGGTTAGAGCATCAAAGGTCCAAAGACAAACTGCCTGACCCCATCACTCTTTCAGCCAAGATTTGAATATTGAGTAGACCCAGTCCAAAAAGAAAGTATGATCTAGAGACAGGAACACAGGCTCTGGCTTCAGATTGGCTGTGAGTCTCATTTCATGGGTGAGAAATAAACGACATCGTGTGTAGAAGATGAACCTGAGGTTCAGAGTCAGAAGGCAGGCATCCAAGTTCCTGTTCCATCACTTCCTGTTTGACTTTGTGCCAAGTTAATTGAAATTTCTGAGCCTCTAGTTTCTCATCTATAATATAATATAATATAATATAATATAATATAATATAATATAATAATCTAGAGTATAATAATCTAGAGTATAATCATCCATAGTATAATCATTTATAATATAATCTGAGAAGTTTAATAGTATTATATATGTGACATAATTTGGCTCCATTACGCTTGCCAACAAGGTTCTCTAGCCCTTGTGCAGGCAGTGCTATTTGGTCTCGGGAGCTCCCTGGCCCAATGTAAATCCAGAGGGAGACTCTGAAGCTTTAGGATACCTCTAGACCACATCCCCCCAGTGATGAGGTCAGAAATAGAGCACATGGCTGAGAAGGTTCTCGTTCAACCCAGAACTTCAAAGACTGTCAAAAATGAATGAACACTAGGGAATGGCATTGCCTTGAACAACTGCCTCTTTGGAGCCAAAAAGTGCCCTGGTGTAGGCCAAGGTCCCAGGAGAGCAGGACACTGACTGTGCCTTCCTGTGTTAACAGCAGAGACCATAAGGAACTTAGATTATGTCTCCATCTCTCCAGGGAACACCGTGTATGCTTGTGTCACTCATCCAAACAGGGTGAGTCCTTTCAGCTTTATACTCCATCATTGGCATGATTTTTATAGTCTTTATTCACAAACTTGTCACCACAATCATCTGACTAATCCAATGACACACACCTTTGAGGAGAGGAGAGGCAGTGGCAGGAGCTAGGATGTTGTATGTGGGACATAACTAGACCCAGGGCTCAAGCCCCGTGGTGTGTTTGCGCATACCCTGCTTTACATGGTCCTCTAACTGCGTGATGCATCAGTAAGTCTTGTCCCTTTCCAGCTTAATTACAAGCTACCTGAAGTGAAAATTACATCTTCTTCCCTCTTCCCTGAGCACAATGCGCAGTAAATACTTGCTGAATGGAACAGACTCTCATGTAAGTCTGAGAGTTTCCAGAGCAGACAATTCTGTAGCAGGGGATTTCTCACCCTGGATGTAGTGGAAATAGGGGAACTCAGAAGCAGTCTCTCAAGAGGGGAAGTGGGGCAAGGATTTGCAACAGTAGAAGACAGTAAAGGCATGAACAGGCTTCAACCCTCCCCTCCCCCCTGCAACATAACAGATGGCCTTGGTCAGCCACCAGGAACTGCTCTGCCACACATCAGCAATTTCCCACCACCCCCAAAGTAAAGCACCTGCAGGTGAACATTTCTAAATAATACCATACATCTTCTGAAAAGTAAGCCAAGATAACTCAGTATTTACCAACTCATGGAAGCAATGATGCAGCTAGAAATCTTAGATTCCCCAAGTGAATGTCCCTTCACACAGCCCCTCACAGTTACTTACAAGATAGGCTCCATGAAGAGAGGTAACAGGAAAGGGTATTCTTACTTGTTCAAATGTTTCTATTGCCTTTCCAGTTCCCTCTTGAAGACAAGATGAATCACCCTCAACAAACAAATAAATTAATCTCCAGCAAATTTGCTAACTTCTTCTTTAGCAAAAATTATACTTTGGAGAGTTCCAGAGGTTTTGATAAATACCCTAAATATTCCTTAATTAGTTTTAAATGTCAAAACTTATGAGCACAGGGGACTTCTGCTGTTATTGCTGTACTTTGTATTCCAAGCAGAACCATTCTTGAGACTGGGTGTTCCTCCTACTTAGCAGTTCCCCAGGCATGAGGAGAATCCAATGGCATGAGAACGAGGCAATTCGAGTCAAGGGACAAACTTGAAGCAGGCAATAGGTCCAGTCGTAGCTAGTAAAGATCTAAGACAAAAGATCCAGTACTTCTGTACACTTCTAGTATAGAAGTCAGTTCTTAAAATGGAGGAAGGAGAGTAGAGTCGGATGCAGGAAACAATGCTTCCTTTACTTCACACCACCTGCCAACAAGGTTGCCCCTCTGTCCCTTTCTGGGTCTTGAGCCACTGGTTTGTGGGGGTGTTGTGCTTCTGTGTGGGCCTCAGGAAATGTCACTAAACTTCCCAGGTTGGAGAGCTCGTGGTGTTTGGTCTCCAGCTCCTTCTGCTACACAGTCTCTAGCCTTTTCCTCCTGAAGAACTTTGACATCATCTTTCTATATGGCATTGTCTTCCCCCAGAATATATCTAACGCATGAATATCTCTTCGTCTGCGTGAGCCAAATGTATATGATTTTTTTTTTACAGGAAACAAATATCCCAACACCTGTGAAAAGCAGTGATTTCTCCACCATTTATTCCACAGTTCATCAGTACAAAGAGGTAAGCCCATGACCGTCCCCTGGTCTCACATCTTACCTCTCTCCCCAGACTTGTAACCTTACAAATAAAGTACAAGTAAAGGGGCCATTCTATAGATGCACAAATACCAGCAGGATATAGAAAGCTTCATGATATCACCAAAACATATCCAAGAAGTTATCTTGTATTTTAGGATCACCACCCATAACTAAGTTTTCAACGTACTTGAATTTAATGAGATTTTTTTAAATTCAATTTTTAATTTAACTTTGCCTTAGCTATCAATATCCTTATCTGCCAGTTAGTGCTCTCCAGACGTTCTCTATAGCCATGAGAGGTAGCCTGAGGCTCTGATCCCGACTAACCTACTTCATTTTCCTCTTTTTTGCATTAGAGTAAACCTATTTCTTCCAGGACAACTGCCCTTGACAACGTCATCTAAATTGCTGAGAGGTCTCAAAAGGAACTCAGGAATGACACAGCTTCTCCTGGTCTCATGGGACAGAACACAGCTTGTTTTCTGCCTGGCAACAGAATTTGAATATTTAGGATTATCACTTCTAGTTCTTTGGACTAGAACCTGCTCAAGTACGTCAGACATCTAAGGAACAACATAATTTCCAGCGTGTGATTCAAATAACATTTTGTAATCTGCTCCAGGCCAAAACATGCTTCCATGAACAAGCCTGGACATTGACTTTCTCTTTGGCAGCTGATGGAGTTGTGCTTGACAGAGAGTTATAATTCAGAAGACAGCCACTCCTTTCCTTTTAGAAAGGAGCAGGATTGTGATTCACTGGGAGAGAGTACAGTGTATTTATTATGTATGTTGTCTCTGGAATTGGCTGGGCCTTGTCCCAAATCCTCACACATCACTTCCTAGACATACCTCCTGGGACATGTTCTGGAACCTCTTGAGGTCTGGTCTCCTAGACTGAAAAATGGGGATCAGCCTGTTACTCAAACCAGGAACCAGAGTTAGCCTTGACTTCAGCTGTTCCATCACCAGGCCCTTTGGACTCTACCTCCAAATACATATCTTAGACTGACCCACTTCTCTCCAAAACTTTAACCTCCACCTTATATTAACCCATCATCTTGCCCAACCTGGAATACGACAGTAAGCTCCAAACAGATTTCCCCAATTTTTGTTCTTATCTCCCTCCAATCCATTCTCTACAAGACAGCCAGAGTAATATTTTTAATATAAACCAGACCCTTCATTTGTCTGCTTAAAACTGACCCTGCAAGACATCCCAGGCACTCCAGAAAGAAACTGAGTCTCTGTGGTTCTGGATGGCCTGGCCCATCTGCAGCCTCAGCCACCATGTCTCCCTCCCACCCCCTCTCTGATTTGGCTTCTCTGATTCTCTTTCAGCCCCTCCATCAGAGGAGAGAGTTTACTCACATCTGCCTCAAGACCCTTCTCTGCTTGCCTGGTTCCTCCCTACTCTACAGGTCCCAGTGCATATATGTCATTCTCCAAGAAAGACCTTCAGACCACTGTAACTGAAGTGGATCCCCCTGTTATTCTGTCACACCTTCCATGTCATTTACATTGTGCCGTTAAATATTTATTTGTATTTAATGTCTGTTTCTCCTATTCTACTGTACACTCTCCAGGAACAGGGACCACGACGATTTTATCTCTGTATCTGGAGCATCTAGCACATAGAAAATGTTCAACAAATACTTTTTAATAAATAAATGAATATGTAGTGGAGTTTTGTGAGAATTAAAGACAATGTGCCTGCAGCCCTTTGCGTGGGGCGTAACACATGAGAGAGCTCGATAAGTGTGAGCATCGCCGTGGCGCTGTTGCTGTTATGAAATGTTGCTGTTATGAAATTGCATTCCCCCTGAACCGACAGAATCTTCTCACAAACCCTCAGCACAAGAAAGGAGGAAGGATGCCTCCTCTGTCACCTGGTTCCACATCACTTCCTACCTTTTATCTCTGCTCAGATTTTAAAATTTCATTCTTTTATCCCCAGGGAAGAATTCTCTGATTTTTTTGTGTGAGTTTGAGATCTTTAAACAAATTGTTTTTCAACACTTTATTGAGGTATGATCGACATACAAAAAACTGTCTGTACTTAATGCACATAACCTAATGAGTTTGGAGATAAGTATACATTTGTGAAACCATGACCACAACCAGTACTATAAACATATCTGGCACCACAAGAAGTTTCCTCTAACCTCTCTTTTTTTTTTAATTTTTAGGTTTTTGTGTGATAAGAGCACTTAAGACCTATCCTATCAGCAAATTTTTAGGTATACAATACAATATTGTTACTTATAGGCACTATGATGCACAGTGCATCTCTGGGACTTACTCCTCATGCATGACTGAAATGGTACGCCCTTTCTCCCTACTCTGCAGAGCCAGCCTAAGTGCTGAGTCACCAGTCCAACTTCCCCAGAACAGTACGCAGACATGCCAGGATAATGGGTGTAAGCTTCATTATTCTCCTTCCCTGCTGAAGGAGCAGTCCAGGGGTTGTATGCTTTCTCCCAATCCTACAGAGCCAAGCCAGCTTCTGGGTTCCTGTGCTGTTTGTAGGGCCATGCATGAGTGCGGGGCAATGGAGCACCATCTGCAGGGGCGGACACAGGCCAGCTGCTGGGGTCCACCAGTGGGCCAGCTGATTGGCAGGGTCCATGGGCCGGTTTTGGAGATCCATGTGTCGGTTGCTGTGAGCCCCAGCCCCTTTTCTTTGTCCTTAGCTGCCCCTCGGTGAGGCAGAAAGGCAAGTTCCCTAAGCATTCTGGGGAACAGAAGCAAGTCTCTCGGGGGGACTGGGAAAGCAGGACACTCATTTCACTTTCTGGGTCTCCTGTGGGAAGAGCGACAGACTGAGGGGGTCTTGCTAAGCCCTGAGCTGTGCCAGCCTGGGGAGTAGGTGATGTAAGTCAAGTCAAACTGTTCTCACCCTTAGTAATGTGGCTATTCTCTGATTTTGCACTCCTCTGGGGTGCTAAGACCTCTCAAAGAGACCCCAGAACTCTCATAAAAGTATATTTGTCCACGAATAGCTGTTAAGTTGGTATTCGCGCGGGAGGGCAAGGGCTTGGCTCTCTTATTCCACCATCTAGCTGATGTGACTCTAATACATCTTTTTTCAATGCGTCTTTTCTGATCACAAAAATAAATACATGCTCATTATAAATAATTCAAACATTCCACAAACAAAAATCCCCTATAATCCCCAAGATAACTACCACAAATGTTTCCCTATTAAAGAACAACTTTTTTACCAGAATGAAATATTGTTTAGAATTTTTTTTTTTTTCTGAAGAATATCTCTTAAGGGGCTTGTGGCTGGCTCAGTCAGTGAAGCCTACAACTCTTGATCTCAGAGTTGTGGGTTCCAACCCCACACCGAGTGTGGAGATTACTTAAAATTTTTCTTAAATCTTTTTTTTTTAAGATTTTACTTATTTATTTTAGAGAGAGAAAGTGTGTGTGAGTAGGGGAAGAGCAGAGGGAGAGAGACAGGGAGACAATTTCCAGCAGATTCCCCGCTAAGCACAGAGCCTGACGAAAGGCTCAGTTCCTAGACTCCAAGAAATCATGACTTGAGTCAGTCACTTAACCGACAGAGCCACCCAGGCACCCCAAAATTTTTAAAAATCTTAAAAAAAAGAATATCTCTTAAACAACTTTCCAATGTTAGAACATGTAGTTGTGCTACATTTTTTTTGCTTTTGATTAATTTTTTTAAACATTTTTCTTGAGTTTAACATTCTTTTTTTTTAAGATTTTATTTATTTATTTGAGAGAGAGAGAGAGAATGAGAGAGAGAGCACGAGAAGGGGGGGGGTCAGAGGGAGAAGCAGACTCCCCGCCGAGCAGGGAGCCTGATGTGGGGCTCGATCTCGGGACTCCAGGATCATGACCTGAGCCGAAGGCAGTCGCTTAACCAACTGAGCCACCCAGGCGCCCCACTTTTGATTGATTTTTATCAGCTTTATCTACAAATAGTTCAGAGTCAAATAGTGCTTTAAAATGCATATGACAAGGAGGCTCCTGGGTGACTCAGTCAGTTAAGCGTCTGCCTTCAGCTTGGGTCATGATCCCAGGGTCCTGGGATGAGCCCCGCATCAGGCTCTGCTCAGTGGGGAGTCTGCTTCTCTCTCCCCCTCTGCCCCTCCTCCTCCACCCCTCCCCTCTGCCCCTCCTTCTTTGCCCCCCTGCTCGTGCACGCTCTCTCTCTCAAATAAAAAAAGTGATTTTCAATATAATTTTCCACCTAGTTAAATCTGTTAAATAATTTATCAGCTTTATGTTCTTCTAGAGACATCCCTACTGGAGGATCTGACCTCCTACTCCATCCTGAGCTGGTTATTTTCTTTGCCCGATGCACAGCCATTGTCTTGGGAGCCCTTTTGCTATCATCTTTGACAAACTTTTTTACCTGTCTCCTTTGTGAGATACTCCAACTTTTGTATCCCACGATTTCCTTTATATATTTCTGAATTATTTAAATAGCTACAGTAATAGTGTATTGTTTTGTGATTTTAAACCAATAAAATTCTTCTTAAATCTTAAATCTATTTTTAAAGTAAAATGCAAAATTTCAAACAGGCCAGGACTGTTGGGGGGAGCCTATGTGCTGGGAACTATGTGATAGAGACCAGCTCTTAAGACTCAAGTTTCAGTGTGAAGGGGTGGGCGAGCTTGAATGGGAAATAGACGAAATAGTGGCTGCAAACAATAGATGAGCCAAACAAAATTCATCAAAGTTAAATTAATCTCACATACTGGCTATCAATTACATTATCAGTCAGTGGAATAAGACAGGACTGAGAAAATTTGATCAGGAAGAAGGAAAGACTTCTAGGAACAAAGTCGTGGAGGCATCAAGGAAAGAGAAGAAGGTTACTGCCATGCCATGCAAGATGGCGTCAAGCTTTTACCTACCCAAAGAAATCTCTTTGGGTAGGTAAAAGAATGCCTTCCAAACCAAGGGGATCAATTAACAAAAAGAAGACTTCCTTCAAAAAAGGAGAAGGAAAAATCTGTGAGAAGGAAAAATCTGTGAAATCAGGGCATGTAGAGAAATGTTTTCAACATCTAGGATGCCAAAAACCAGCCAGAGAATTAAAGATCATGTCATGGAAGGGATGATAATCTATCTAGAGCAGGAAATCTACAAGAATCCACCCTGAGACTGGACAGCCCTGGAGAGGATCACTACTAAAATGGGAACGAGAAATGTGTCCATGAATATCTAAGAAGTGAGTGAGAAAAAAAGCTTATAAGAAAAACTAAGCTGACACTTCACTATAGATCAGGTAATAAAATATAGAGTTCTTGATTTTTATATTTCCTTAAACCTTTTAAACGTCCTCCATATTTATTCTCAGTGTCACACTGTCTTCTGTTGGCTTCTGTGATACCACATACTCCCGCATTTTCCTCCTTCTTTACCAGTTGCTTCTCAGTTTCCTTCTGAGCCTCTTTCTCCTCTGCAGGACCAGTAAAGACTGGAGCTAAGCTTCAAACCTGGGCCCCTTTCACTTCTCCATCTACATGTTCTTACATGATGTCAACCATTTCCATTGTCTTAATACGATTTATATGCTAATGGTTCCCAAATTTATATCTTTAGCTCTGGCCTGCTGGCTTACATCACTAACTGCCTACTTGGCATCTCCACTTAGATATCTAACACACATATCAAATTTAGGATGTCAAAAAGAAAAAAAAAACCAAACCTTTGGATTTCTTTCTCCAAGGCTCTTCTTCTACTACTCTTTCCCCTATCAGTAAATGGCCACATTGTTAATGGGAAACCTCCTTTACAGGTCTGAAGACCACCCAACGCTCACCAAATAATTAATCATTTTTTCTTTCCTTTCTGGTGGGAAACAAAAGGAATTAGCCAACTGTAAGTAATCTATTGTTATGAAGGTAAACACATTAAGACCTGGATGCCCCATTCCCAAGAGAGAAAATGCATTTTGCAACCAGGGAAAAAAACATTCAATGCCTACAAAATTCTTACAAAGCGAAAACAAAAACCTTTCTTTGTCCAGAAAGTAAGCTTGTTCTTCAATGTTTTCATTGTAGAATGGAGGAAACTGCAACACTGTTAAACTACTTTGATTGAGGGAAGAAGACTGTGATTGGCTGTCCTGGGAATATCATGAAAGAGAAGTCCTCTCCCCTTTTAAGCAGCCCCCCAGTCACACCCACTGGCAGTCCCAAACCTTTGGCATGACCTGCAAGACACCTACTTTTATCTCCACTCCTTCCACAGCATCCCAGCCTCGTTTTCATTTCCCTCCTAGAAGAATGCAAACTCTGCCTCTATGCCTTTGTATATTCAATTCCCTCTGTGTTACGTTCTACACATGCGTGTGCACGCACAAACACACCCACACAAGCTAGCCAGTTCCTAGTCATCCTTCGGGACTCAGCTTCTATATCATTTCTCCAGAGAAGCCTTCTCTGACATCAATTCACCCTCACTATTCCCTCTAGTTCTCCAACCACTTATACAAATTGTAATTTAATAAGCATTTATGTAATTTTATGTTTGATATATCTAATATATCTCATTGCATTCTGAGTTCCAAGAGAATAGTGACTGTTCCCCAGAACCTCACACGGTACCTAGTCTATCGAAGTAGACATTCAATAAATACTTGTTGAATAAATGAGCAAACAATAGGTCGGAAGTAATTTGGTAGATGGGGCTGGAGGAGGGAATT